TAGTGCTGCAATTGTGAAGTGAACACAGATCAGGTGTATACATCTGAAGATTGTTGGCCAAGTCAAGAAAGTATTTTTTTTTTTGTCCTAAAAAGCATGTGGTAGCTTTGGCCTTGAGTGCAAAAGGCTGGATGCTGGACATCTGAAATCCAAATTACTTTGAAATTTCCAGCAGTGACTTCAAAGGAATTTAAGGTTGTTTGCATTTCAGATTGATCACTTGTCAGCTGGAAAATTTAGGTGTTACATGTGTTGAGAGCAAACAATGGTCATGGAGTTGCAAGTAAGAGTGATTCAAATGATAAAAGGGATGATAATGTAAGGTAATAGGACAAGTGAAATAAATGTGTCTACAGGTGTAAACAGAAAATAGTCATCACTGACACCTGTAAAATACATGGGGACAGGCTATAATCTAAAGATCTCACGTGATGCAGTGGTAGTGTCCTTGGCTTTAGGCCTGGAGACAAAGGTTCAAGTCATGTCTGCCCTAGAAGGTCAGACAGGAGGCTGGAAGAACACAGCAGGCCAGGCTCCATCTGAAGGAAAGAAGCAGAAAGGTAATACCTGAAACGTTGACTGCTCCTTTCTTCCGATGCTGCCTGGCCTGCTGTGTTCTTCCAGCATCCTGTTGTCTACTTTAGATTCCAGCATCTGCAGGGTTTTTTTGTCACTAACCTAAAAGAGAGAGTGTATTTGACCTGCATAAGTAGTCTTTGAGTTGAGCGCTAAAACAATCGGTGGCAGTGTTGTCATCTCAGCTTCATTTGAGCAGTGTCCCATGGGGAACGTCAGAATAGAAACATAAACTGCAGAAGAAGCCTCTGAACAGAGAGTTGGAGTCAATATCACTAAATCTACACTCTTCCCATTTTCTGGCAGCAGCAGGTCTTACAGCTTTGGATGTTATAGTGCAAAATTAGAAATGCCAGGAGATTAGAAGCTTGAATTCATGTCTGCAGATTGGACAGAGGTGCTTGGCGATGTGACAGTCACATGCTATGACGTGGAGGTGCTGGTTTTGGACTGGGATGGATATCACACGACACCAGGTAATAGTCCAGCAGGTTTATTTGAAAATGCAAGCTTTCAGACTGCGAGTTCTTCAGGTGTCAGTGGGAGAGGTGGCATCAGATACATCTTATAAGCAAAAGATCAAAGGGTCATTGAACTGATGCAATTGTATTGAACACATCTCAAATGGCTGTTAAATTTTTCATCAGTTAGAAAAGATTAATATGCAAATCCCAGAATATCTTTCAGGTCACTGCCCTGAGATAACTAAAGGTTTCACAAGTATACCAGAGGTGACACGGCAGGTCAGAAATGCATTTTAGGTGTGAGGCCTTGTTTAGAATCTGGCTGTGTATTAACTTGGAGTCAGACTGGTTTTATTTCCAAAGTAAGAATTTATAAAATGCCACATTGACTGTCAACAAAATTCAACGTACCTGCAAACGTATGTTCGCACCAGAGACTTAGGTATGTGCATGTCTGTGGTTGGGGGGGAGAGAGTGCGTGTGTGAGAACGTGCAGCGTGTGTGGGAGGGAGAGAGAGTGAGTGCTTGTATGTGGGAACGTGTAGGTGTGTGGGTGAGAGAGATTGTGCTTGTGTGTGTGTGTGGGCGCGTGCGGGCGGGCACGAGTGTGGTGGGGTCACCTGTATTGCGACATGACCCCAGGATCCCGGTTGATGCCATCCTGATGCTATCAGCCTCTGCTCGGCGACTCTGCATTGTTGTGTATCCTGCATAGTTTTGCCATTGTACCATGCCTCAGGGCATCCTTGCCTGTAGCGTATGAGATGGACAACATTGGCTGAGTCACATGAGTATCTACCGTGCATGTGGTCGGTGGTGTTCCCATGTTTGATGGTAGTGTCCATGTCAGTGAACTCACATGTCTTGCAGAGGTTGCATGACAAGGTTTTATGGTGTCGTGGTCAATGTGGTCCTGAAAGCTGGGTAGTTTGCTGCAATCAATGGTCTGTTTAAGGTTTGGTGGTTGTTTGAATGCGAGAAGTGGAGACGTAGGGAAGATCTTGGCGAGGTGCTCACCGTCATTGATAATACGTTGAAGGCTGCGAAGAACATGGCATAGTTTATAAGGTCCTGGGAAATACTGGATGACGAAGGGTACCCTATCAGTCGTATCCCATGTCTGTCTTCCAAGGAGGTCATTTCAATTTTTCGCTGAGGCGTGTCGGAACTGGCAATCAACAAGTTGAGCATCATATCCCATTCTTATGAAGGCATCTGTCAGCACCTTCAGGTGTCCATCACATTCCTCCTCATCTGAACAGATCCTGTGTATGCATAGGGCTTGTCCATAGGGATGGCATTTTTAGTATGTTGAGGGTGGAAGCTAGAGAAGTGCAGTATCATGAAGTTATCAGTAGGCTTGCAGTAGAGTGAGGTACTGAGTTGTCCGTCCTTGATGGAGATGCATGTGTCCAAGAATGAGTCTGATTCTAAAGACTAGTCCATGATAAAGGGGGTAGCCATGGGTACCCGCATGGGCCCAAGCTACGCCTGCC